GGATTGTTTTGGAGTTTGCCTTTGACTGACCCTTTGCTTGGTTTCTCTATATTACACATATTAGTGAGATGCATCTTATTTACCTTTCTCCTTCTGACATTTCACTGAGCATAATGCCTTCTGGCTCCATCCATGTTGATGCAAATAGCATGAATTTATCTTTTTTGATTGCTGAGTAGAATTCCTGTGTATATCTACCACATCTACTTGATCCACTTGTCTTTTGGGGCATTTAGGTTGTTTCCATATTTTGGTTGTTGTAAATTGTGCTGCTATAAATATAAGGAATACAGGCCTCTATTGGTGTTAGTTTTTTTTTTTTTTTTTTTGTGTGTGTGTGTGTGTGTGTGTGTGTGTGTGGTTTTTGAATCAATACCTACGAGTGGTATTGCCTGGTCTTATGGCATATTAGTTTTTAGTCTTTTACAAAATCTCTATATTGTTTTCCATAGTCTACATTCCCACCAACAGGGTAAGTGGGTTCCTTTTCTTTTTCCCCTATACCCTTGAATGCTGGCCTAATTTTAACCTATATGTTCATTGTTGCAATGGTGGTCGTGGTGATGATGGTGATTCCTGTAGACATTTCAGCACAATGTTTAAAGTGGTTCTCAGCTGGGGTCAGTGGTACCTCTCCAAAAGGCATTCGGAAATAGGTTGGAGCATTTACAGTTCTCACGGTGACTGAGGATGCTGGGCAGAGGCTGAGATTCCTAGATGCACCATAGTAAATGGGACAGCTTAGCACCTTGGAAAATTTTACAAAATGTCACTGGCTCCCCACTGAAAAGCACCAGAAGAGATCAGGGTATTCTTTTCTGTTTTCTGTGTTCTGAGGATTCTACTTTAGATATCTCTCCTGGGCTAAACATAAAACATAATCCATTCACACACTGGGGCACAGGACAAAAAGAAGCATACCAGAATCCGTGATAACAAATGCCATGCTCATAGGAGAAGCTGTGATCCTGGGATTAACCCAGCAAAAAGACAGTGAAGAAGAAAAACTTCAAATCCATGACGTATGGGCTGGTACCCCAGAGACTGAAAGAGGCAGAGGGAAGATGGAATAATTTCTTTCATAATGTGTCTGATCATAGAAAAGAAAAGGCCAATCTAATTCTCTGGTTAAGATCATTAATGAGTTTAAAATGTGCAGACCCAAGGCTGTCCTATCCTGTCTTAAAAAAGGATTATGGATTGGATTAAAGGACTTTTCTGTTCCATCAAAGCTTACAAGAACTTTCATACTTTATTGAGGTAGAATTCTCTTTAATTTTAATGAGTTTTATCCTTTCTTTGTTCCCATAAAACTGAATCCAAAGCATATCCTTATCAATGCTCCTGTTACCCAAGTTAAATATTCCAGAGGAATCTATCCTATTTTTATAGGATATCTATTCCAAACCACTGGGGATATTATGATCAACATTCTGAAAGGTTTCATTTACCTTACTATGTCAGGCAGCCCCCAGCCAGAATTATGAAAACCATTGTGTTTTATTTCAGTAACACAATAAAACCTCAATTATCAGGAAGTGCCTTATCTATGAACCTCAGATATCTAGGACATAGTAAACCCAAGAAAGTTCCTGATTTTTATGCCAAAAATGGAAAACTTTAAGGTTCTCCTGGGAGTCAATTTATTCTCAATTTACATATGGTTCTAAGAAGCTTGCTTTTCTAGTTTTCTAGCTTTAGTGATAGATTAAACAGTGAACAGTCAGAGACTTGTTTAGTTCAGATCATGGTTTGGAGCAAAAGACTGCCTGTTGCCAAGCAAGGAAAAGGGTATTGGACATTCATTTTAAAAAACAGTAAAAGAGCTCCCAAACCATGAGCATCTGGGACCAAGCTGCTATATTGAGAGCTTGGTAGCTCCTAAAACCCTGTGTTTCCCAGCTAGTAAGGTCATTAATGATCATAATAACTATATTATAAGAAGCAAGAAACATGTAGCACATTTGACAAAGTTCCCCTCAAATCTGTGATTTGAAAAAGTTATACTAATCATAAAACTAAACTCTAGATGTCTGGGGAAAAAAAATCACTTATTTTGAATATTTTATTTCTAAAAGCTGAATCAATGAGGCAGTTGTAGGTGAAATTTGGTTCAGAAATCCACCTTTCAAAGTTGGTACTATTAAAAGTTAAAAGCATTAAGTTTGTATTTTCTTGTGCTCTTCAAAGGGTATGTGTCTTTCTGAACTTAAGTTCCACCTTCCCACATTTGAATCCATCATGACTCAATCTCATTCCTGACATGCATCTTCAAGCTGATTCGTGCTTGGAACCATAATTTCCCAACTCTCATTAAGGTGGAGGCAGAGAGCTAAAGAGGACTGAGAAAATGAACTGAATTCAAATGTTACCAAAATGGAAAATATATGCTACATGATTTTCAAAACATATATATTGGATTATTTTTATCTTTTAATCACTCTTAGATTAATATAACTGCATTTGTATTTATGGTTTTTTTGTTTTTTTTTTAATGGTGCATTTTAATTTTTTTAAAGTAATTTTTTTTTAAGATTTATTTATTTATACAAGCACTGGGTACAGTCAGAAATGCAGGAGGGTGAGAGAATTCACCAGAGCCAGAGCGGGGAACAGAACAGGCAGACTGAAGAAGTACACTGCTAAGGGGAGCAGCGGGCAGCAGGAGAGGTCGGCGCGACATGTGGGACCCTCGCTGGTGGCCGGGGATTGAACTGGTGCTGCAGAGGCTGCGGGCAGCTTCGCAACCCAGCGCTCAACCACTGCACCACCCAGGAGGCCCTGCATTTGTATTTATGGACCAGGCTTCTGTCTATCAGTTTATTTCAGGGAAGGAATAATCAATGTTGATAGTGTAAAATACCATAAAATAGTATAAGCCCTAAATGTTTGTTTATACTAGATCACTGTGATTCTAATGCCTAGGGTACCCTTGGAGAAGGAAGAAGAGGCTCAGAAAGCAAAAAAAAAAAAGGAGGGAGGCCTGGGGTGGAGAGAAAGGGCTGATCTATTTTCTATAGAAAGTTTTGAGTAATATCAATAGAACCATCTAGTTGCAGCTAAATTTTGTTGAACAAAATAAGCTGCATAGGTGAACTGTTGTCCATCCTCCATACTGCTGCTTCTCTCATTCTTTCCTGAGGGTTTATTTTTTTTTTACATAATAATCAGTCCTCTTACTATGTAGAGATAAATTTTTCAGGCTGTTTATCCTTGACTTATAAGAAAATACTGAGATGCAGTTTATAATTTGCATTTTAAAGCATTAGGCAAGCGACTTACAATCATTTGCTGGAATTGAAAATAGAACACATGACTTGCTTCATATTTCTTGTTTGAGAATAAAGTACAATTTTCTCTGTCATTAATATTTTGAGAATTAATTGTAAAGAAATTTGAGATTTTTAAGACAAAGGTGCTGAAGGTTTTTTAATCCCAAACTGAATATTGCTATTGCTGCAATTTTTAATTTTCTCCCTCATTCATAAAATAGTTTCAAATTCATATTTATTCTATTATCTAGTTGTTAATTCAGAGTGAGATATTGAACGACCAGCCATTCACATTTCTTATCTTACCCTTTCTAATTAATGAATGTATATTGCTTCCATGCAGTATATACAGCCTAAAATAACCATAGGGAAGATATCCTTATTAGGAATGTCACAACGGTAGATGTGAAAGTATTTCAATATGCTTGCTTGTGACTATATAAAGTAGAAGTTCAATTTAAACAATTCATTTTAATATTTTTCCTACTTTAAAGCTCAATAAACATTTGGTAAATGAATGTTGAATGTTAATGCATTCTATTTGCCCAGCTCATAAAATAGACAAAAAGGAAGCAGGTACCTTAGTAAAGGCTACAGTGACTTAAGCACTTAATCCTGATGATAGGAAGATGTTTAAATGCAACTCAGTCTTCCTTAGTGCCAAGGTCAGAAGCAGTCAATCAACTACAAAGATCTTATGCATGGTTAAGAAATCCAAGTTAATTTGTAGAATTAAATAATTCCCAGTACTATCCAGCAAAGTAGTGCTAGATCTTAGCAGTTTGTAACATAAATAACATCTATTGAATTGATTTAGATAATAGTATCTTATGCAACCCATATGGACTTAGAGTAGATGCATGCAATTATCCAGTCTCATTGGCTATTAGAATCATGAATAATAAATTTCAGAGGAATCCTGTCACCAGTGTAACTGTAGGATCTGAGTACATCACAAAAATATCCAAATGTAAATATGAAAACAAATTATCTAGATTTTTTTTATAGAGTCAACTATCTAGATTTAACTGATGACCCCAATTGAAGGGAGAGGGTAGCAAAAAGCTTGCCTTAACATAATGCTTTCCAAGTATTATAACTCTTGAAGTTTTAAAAAAAACAGTAATTGGTAAATAGTTTTTTATATCCAATATTTTAAATAATACTGTTTGAAGTGGTAGGCAGGAGATATGTATTTTTTCCCTTTGTATTTCAAAGGGACTCTTTGAAACACATGACTCTTCCTTCATAAATGATGCAGATGGGTCAGGAAATGGTCCCTTACGTGGTGGTATCTCCCCTCCCCACCCAGACAGACAAGGTGGTGTGTAATGAGTACAATGATATAGAAGCAGCACTTGCAAATAAAAATGGTTAATAGCGTATATGTCAGTGATTCCAAAGCTATCCAACATTTTAGCAGTTGGCCCCATGCTTTATAATTTTCAAGGTAACTGAAATTGTTAAATGCCTGTTTTTTTAAAAATTGACTTGTCCATTAAAAGCAGTTCTGGATATTACTGATTCAAAGGAACAATTATATTTTATAGTTACTTATTTTTTTCTTGGGAAAACTGTTATCTCATAGAGCTTATTGTGGTTTCGGGCAAATTACTATGGTTATTGATGAATCTCAGAAGTAGATGGCATTGTTTTGTAAATGTTCGTGTAATAGAACTTGGACCAGATGAAGCAGATTCCTAATTCTCATGCATCTGGTTATTTAAGGCCTCCTGCCAGGAAATGCTAAGTATCAAGGATCTTTTCTAAGAAATCAAGGACTCAACAGTACGGATTGCCTCATAATCAGGTACTTGACCCTTCAATTTATAGATTTTTTTCTGTCTTGTTTGTAGTTGAGCATTGAGATTTATTAAATGGCTTCATACTTAAATCCTAAAAGCAGGGGTAGAAAACAGAACCTGGCATTTTTCTTCAGAATTCTGTGTTTATTAAGAGGCTTATCCAGAATGTCTGTCAGTTAGCAGAGAGAAAACTCTTATTTTAAAATACATGCATACACACTTTTGGCTGAATTTTAACTCATTAAAAATCTGCTTTTTTGGAACAAACTCTGTAATATATTTGCTTAATCTTACCTGGGATTTCATTTTATATTATCAAAGAGGAAGTGGGGAGAAATGTGCTAGCATTCATATTTTAATACAGGAGTTACCAACAAAAGAAAATACAGATATTTGGTATGCCAAATAAATGCTGGCCACATAACCATAAAACAGAAGTGACCAGAGAATTAAACTACAGCATTTTATGACTTTTTTATGAAGGTGAAACTATACTACTATGCCCTTTGATGAAACAATACTATGTCCTTTTAGATATCTGGATGTGTTGATCAGTCTGTGTACAAAAATATCAAGAATGAGCATATTGCTACTTTAAATTTATTTTGGAATAAATAATAAAATTTGGAGATTTGGAAACTGGAAAGTAGGCATGCCATGCCATTCTTTGCCCATTTTTACCAGCCAGGAAGTAACAGAGGAAATGAATGCAGGTCCTCTGCTCTTTTTCCTGCAGCAACATTTTCTACTTAGTTGATGGAGTAAGAACATTATTTTTTAAGGCTCATAGACTGGTACAGTTGAATTATTCTTAACCAACTTCTAGAGTATGTCCTGTAATGTTCACTGATGTATTTATGGTAAACACTTATTTTAAATTATCACATAATATGTATTTTTTCTATAATGTAGCATTTTATTTTTTTGCCTATATATAATTACTCCAAAACTTAAAAATTCCCCCAGCATGCCCACTTTGCTTGAAAAACTAGTTTCCTTTGCAGTTGCTTGGAAGCCAAGGGGTTTCTTTGACCTGGGGCCAACTTATCTTTCCTTCTTCATGTCCAAGCCTGCTCCCCCACTTCTTCACTTCACCCCTTACCTATTTACTACTTTTCCTACATACACACCTTTTCTTACACTAGCACCTTTTGCCCCTTAATTCCTTCTCTTTAGTTCACCTTTATATTTGTGACACATTTTCTCTGGTTCTGGCTTCTAGATTGACAGATTGTTTTTCTTCCTTGAGTTGTCAAAAGGGCTTGCTCTATTCCTTCGTCATTTGTATTGTCTCTGACCAGAAGTTGACTGTCACTTTCACCTTTACTCCTCTACATAATTTGTTTTTTCTCTGGGTGCTTCCAAAAATTTTATCTTTATTACTGATTTTAAGCAATTTGATCATGATGGACCTTGGTGTCATTTTTTTCCATATTTCTTCTGACTGGCATTTGTTGAACTTCTTGAATTTATGAATTCATTCTTTTCATCTGTTTTGGTCATTTTTCATCAGTATTTCTTCAGATATTTTATCTGTTTCTCTTCTTGTTTTTCACTTCTTGTGAAACTCTGATTACCCACATTTAGCCATTGAATGTTCCACCGTTCACAGATGCACCTTTCTTTTTTTTTTCCACAGACATAGATTTAATTTCCAGAGGATGTTTGATTTAGTTCTCTTTTAATCATGATGATTCTCTTATAATGTTCATGCTTTCCTTTATCTTCTTGGACTCTGTGTGTGTGTGTGTGTGTGTGTAAAACCTCTTTTATTGTCCTTGTCCCCTAGTGATATCATCTATGTCTCCTTTTGGTCCATTTTTATTGATTTGCTTTTCATTATGGAGCTTATGCTGCTTATTTGCATAACTGGAGATTTTTCAGTTTACCACCAGAACTTGAGAATTTTACACTATTGGATACTGGAATTTTTGTATTCCTCTAAAATGTTTTATCTTTATTCTGGGATGTATTTAAATTGGAAATTAAATTTCAATTGTTTTAGAATTTGTTTTTAATTTTCTGGAAAGAGACCAAAAACCTTTCATCGAGGGCTACTTTGGCCCTACTTCTGAGACAGTGCCCTTCAGAGTGCTGGCTCAGACCCCCAGTGCATCAGAAGGCCCATCTACTCCGGCTCCTGGGAATACACGCTCCTCCTGGCTTTTGTGCTCAGTGGATTGCTCCTGCTGATCTTTTCCTGGGGTCCTTCCCCTGCCTTCAGTTAGTTTCCTCATGCATGTGCTCTACTCAATCATTGCTGGCAGATTTTTGGAACCTCTCTCTCTTTACAACTCTTCCTCACTCTGTTCCCCTGGATTTCCAGTGGTTCTCAACTCAATCTCTTCAACCCAGGGAAAATTCTGGGCTCTGTTTGGCTTTCTTTTCACTGCTCTGCAGTGTGGTTATTCTCTCCAGGCATTAAACAGGGCTTACTTCGTCTGATTTTCTCCTCTTGATGGTCCCTGCCCTGTGTTCCCTGCTATCCACTGTCACCATTGTTTCATGTATGTTGTCTAGTTTTATAGGTAAGACAGGAGAGTAAATCCAGATCTTGTTATACTGTTATGACCAGGGGCAGAAATCTAACTTACTCCTTTTACCTCCTTAAATCCTTCACGTCCTTGAATCCTTGATCAACTGTCACATCCCTAGTGAAAGTTGGTGAATCCCTTTTCTCCCCCAGAGAATTGTAACTTCATTTAGTTTTTTCATTGTTTCCCTTCCCCCAGCATTACAGCACATCTCTCTTCTATTCAGTATTATTTTGCAAGATGTACAAGCTTCCTATTGATAAATTGTAAGCTTCTTGAAAATGAATTTGAAACACATGCTTTTTCAAACCCCCACATAAAAAATGTGGCACCTAGAAGGCACTAAATAAAAGTCTACTGAATGAGTGGTATCTTTAAGGCATTTATAATATATTCACATTGTTTGATTTGTAAGAATTTGGACCTGCATTTCATACTGTGGGTAAATGAAATACATTTGCCTGCATTTGCATTCACTCTGCTTTCCTTCTTTAGTCTTTCTGCACAGTTTTACCAGTGACAGGAATGAAGGAATAATAAGCATGTTCATTAAATTCTTAGATGATCCCAAATTCCAAAGGGAATCATAATCTCAGAATATGAGATTAGCACTAATTATATCCTTGGTAAGTAGGATGAATGATCACAAATAAAGTAAAATTAAATGAAACTACAAGGTATTAAATTTTAGAAGAAACTAAGCCACGCATCCTCATAGAAATGGTTGGAACTGAGTAAGATTTTAAGAGCCATTGTGAATCACAAGTTGAAAATGTGTCAGAAAATGACATTTCCTGTTGCTGTAAGATGCTATGTAAGAATGGCAAAGATAATTATTCTTTTATAGTCATAATTATAAAACCCTTATAAATTCTGTGTCATTTCTGAAGTCTATTTTTATTTTATGAGCATTAGTAAATATAGGGTTTTAAGAAAAGAGCCATTAAAATGTTACAAATGGAGCCCTCGAAGAAACCTTATTCTCTTTATCCCTTTTGCTTTTTTATTTTCTGTAAGAACAAGGTGTATATACAGAAAATTAGCATGTTATAACAAAGAAAACATGCAAACAAAAAAGAACAACCACTGCCTTTAACTGAAACAAAGCAATGGCCTTAGTATTGGGAGTCAGTAAAGGAAAAACATGGCAAACTATTATTAACATTTGCCTGGTTTTCAAGGAGTACTGTGCTAACTGCTTTTGAGTTATACAAAAGAATGTGTGGCATCCAACTAGCTCTTTTGACTTTTCTATGTATCATGAATATATAATATCCTTTAAACCTCACAGCTATTCTATGAAATGTTATTTCCTTTTTACAAATGATGAAATTGGAGTAATTCCAGAGAAATGAATCCTATTTCAAGACAGATAGCAAATTAATAGAATAGTCTAGACTAATCTATAGGTCGCCACAACACTGTGGAACAAATGGTAATCCCACATGATCCCAACACATGAACATCTAGTTCTTTGAAATCACCAAAGTGCTGTAAAATGGAAGGCAGTAAATCTTAGTGTCCATAGTCTGGAGTTTGGACCCTCCTGTAAAATTGCTGCTGCCAATTCCCTTGAATTCCTTCAGTATTAAAAAAAAAAAAAGAACTTATTAGTTGTTTTCTACATTCTGAACTAGAAATAGGAAAGACAAACAATCCAATGTCTTTGTCCACAGTAAGCTTTTCTCTCATTTACTCCTTAGGGAGTAAGACAACCGCTTACATTATAAACTGATGCTGCTGCCACCTCCTTCCCCGTTATTTAAGAGTCAGTCATTTATATTACCTTGCCATCTCTGTTCATTATTTATTTTTATGTTGTTTTCTACTCCCCTTTAAGAATGATAAATTAATGATGAGATCCTCTTAAAGTGAGTATGAAAATTTGTGCAATGGTAAATTTGATTTATAATCGTAAATTTGATGCTGAGTTGGAAGAAATGTCCTTTGCACATCAAGGGCCTTTTTCATTAGAACAATAGACAAAGAGGAATGATTTAGCCAGAGGCTCTGTGGTGGGACAATAAGTGAGCATCTGTCAGGAGCTGTCTGCTTTCCCCATGAATTCCACGGAGTAGATCAGCTGCTCCTAGGTATGCAGTGACCATGAGACATGGGTATGAGAATAATGATAAAGTAGAATAGGGCTCTGAGTTCCAAAGAGTTTGAAATAGCATCTGTAGAAAACCCCACTTCCCTGAATACCCCCACATCCTTCCTGTTTGTATATGTGGTTTTTCGTAACAGAAAACAATTTGGGTAGTTTCTGAATGTCCAGCTATAATGCTTGAAAACTTAGGCTACATTAACACAGTAGATTGATTTTGGCAAAAAGAGGCTATTCTTTAGCCACATCTCATCAGGATTTATCTCTTGACAAATTCTGAACAGGTAAAGACATATTCCATAGTTACTGTTGAAGAGAGTCTTATCCAGTGATCATAAAATTGCCTTTTAGTTGGATAACAAGT